TATATAAGATTTTGATGTCACAACTATTTAATTATTTAGTTCATCATCATGAAAACCTATGAAAGTCTACGGTTGAACATCGGCCTCCCCCAATAGATTGTATCATTTGGCAGGCGGATTGATCACCGCGGTTTATTATCTATCGACTTCAGAAAGGAATCGGTACTCAATTCTGTATTGTGACTGAATGTTTATGTGTGTTAGGTACCTCATAACTTCTTACTGGCTGAACCGATTTCGATGATTCTTTTTTTATTTGAAAGCTGGTGCTTCCCATGTAGTCCCATATAAATCTTTTTTCAATTGATCAAGGTCTGACCAATAGTTTTTGAGATATTCTTTATAATTTATATTGAAGTCGGTTGTACAAAATTTTTAATTTTAAATTATATTATTTTGAGTTGTCGTCAAGAGATGGTGCTGCTTAATTCCTGTTTCAATTTCCCTCTGTCGCCTTATACCGACAACTACGGGCTGATATTATGTGATAGTGGATTCTCTTACACCAAGCCGCCACTACGCGGCGATGTTTTCATTAATTAACACGGATAAACCAATCACACTAATTTATTGGTAGCAACATAAAAAAAATTATGAAAATGAGAATTAAAAAACTGGTCAAGTGCGTGTGGGGCCACGCACAATGTAGAGGTAGGGTTCTGTAGTTGTCCGTCACAATACGTGGGCTTCCTTGATAATGAGCATAATAAGTGAGTTCGCAGTTTGACCGCTATAACGACTAAAAATGGGCCCAAATAGGAAGATCGTAACTGAACAACTTATTATCATATCAGCCTTATAGTGAGTGGTATTCAAAAAAAAATTAAAAGAACTTTTCGATTTTGTTAATAATATCCAATCTATCCCGCAAATGAAAAAGTAAAGCTAAAGTATAGTCGTTTTCTTCACAAAGTTTTTTTTAACAGTTTACAAAGTTATTAATGCTGCTTGTTTCAGATGACTTTACTATTGTGTATACTTTTTCACATTTCTAAAACAGCGGTTTAGTTGGTAGGGAGGGTGGGGGGGGGGGGGGGGGCACATGACTGATGAAAAATACCACTTTAAAGTTAAATATTTCCACACGACCCTTAAATAAAAAAATGTTTCACATCCCTAATAATTTTGAAAGACCTGTCTAATGATACACGATGGAATAGACGGGTAAAAAAATCATCCTCCATTTTCTAAGCGTGATTAATATCTATAACTTTGCCAAATTACAGATTTGTAGCACCTAGCAAAACAGCGGACGGACGGACGGACATGGCGAAACCATAAGGTTTCCTTGTTATATCACTACGGAACCCTAAAAAACATACACAAGCAATAGTGCTACGAGCTGTTGGGCTTGAACATTCCATGGAATTAAATACTAATAACGTAGCGTTAGCACCTAGTATATCAATTCATTGGAAAATGTAGATATCGATAATTATTATTATATCTGTGTGATGTTACAAACAACTGAACTCGACAGTTACAATAACTATAAACATTATCATCATCACCATTACAGCCCTTCACAAGTCCACAGCTAAACATAGGCCTATATACTCAGAAACGTTGAGTATATAATACGTATATAATATATTTTGAAATTGCATTGCACAGATGAGACAATACCATCACGGTAAAATATCTATGCTGCACCGACGATACGTATCCAATGCAGAAAAGTATAATCTACGAGTGCAACTTAGTGACGCACTGGTAAGAGATGCAGGAAGTCGATGGAAGAGACGTCTCAGGATTGTGCTTTGTGGCAATCCTTGGGCTTTAACTACGGTGATGATGGTGATGATAAAACACTTAGAATTGGTGTCCGATCCGATAACCCCCTACCATTTTTGACATCGTGTAGGTATTATATAATATAAAGGTTTCATAAACAGAACCATTATCTAAACCAAAAAGGTAAGTGCATTGCTATTGATACTCAGATAAAGAAAATTGAAAATATCTATATTTGAAAACCATCTAAATCTATTAACACTCGCAACTCGTAAACCGCTTGTTTATTGTTTTGAATCCTTGGTATGGGTTACTTTCACAGTTCACGGCAAATAACGAGCTAAATTTATGGCGTAAGCTAACATAGACCTAATAAAGATAAAAAGGTCTGTAGCTATATTCATGTCGCACTCATAATTTTCTGTCTCAAGCTCAATTATAAAGAATATAGACGAGCAATTTGCATCTTCATTTTTAAATGCAGGTCATGTATTTTTTTATGCTCCAAAATGATTCAAAAACTTAAGTACGACGATGAAAGTCCTACTTACATTAAAAATCGAGCACAAACGTAAAGAAAATTGACGAGTTATTTCCACCATCTTTTTTTTCAAATACAGATCATGTATGTTATGCTTGAAAATTATTCATAAACCTATGAGTACAATGATAAAAGTCGCCCATTAACAATAATATTTTTCCCGTTTTCTCTGAAAGATACAACAGTTAAACTTCTTCTTGCATTGGTAATACGCACTGGTTGAACACTATTGTTTTTAAGTGTTGAAAATAAGACATGCAGGAAGTTGATAGATGCAGGTGATTTGGGACCTTGTTTTGTGCCATTCCTTGCAGGCTACCTGTGTTCAGCTGTGGACTTGCGAAGGACTGTAATAATGATTATGACGAAGAATTATAGCACAAGTGGGGTGTAAGGAGAATGAGCAAGCGAGGCCGAGCAAGGCCCTGGCGACCGATGGTGGTAATTCATTCAAAAACACTGAACTTATATTTGATTTGCTGCTCGTATTACCAGTGCGAGGGCATTGGCTTCGATTCTACATTCACCGATCTCACCTGCGCTAACGTGATATGGGCAAACCTTTCAAGCAATTGGTGCATTTTTGTATAGGCGCCAGTAAGACTACAAAAGGCTGTTGATGACGGAAATCTATGAACTAAAATACCCGAAACGGTTTGCGAAGATGCCTTATTGGATCGATAGGTGTTTCACGAAAAATTATTACCAATGATTATATTGGACTGGAGGTTTAACGATCCTAGTAATGACAGAGTCTAGATTCTACTGTTCGCGCACGCTTCCATTTCTATCGCAGTGTCTATAGTAGAATAGGCGCTATAATGTTGAAGAATAACTCTCTATGTGGTCTCTCTATGATGGTCAACACTTTGGGATATTCTAGGTCTGTTTTTCCCTACAAGTTTTTTTTTTTCATAAAGTGCAAAGTGAAACGATATGTGAAATAAGAATACAAAAGAAGTAAGTTGAACGAGTGGTTGAGTTTGTGTATTTAGAATGTGTTTATCAGGAATGGTAGACATCACATGGATATAGAACGAAGAGTGAATGCATAATACAGAGTAAATGGGGCTGTTCATTCTATTGTGGGAAGTATAGAAGGTGTGGCAAAAGCATGAGAGTAAAATGAATCCTGTAGAAATGCGGTCATTGAGAAGTATGTTAGGGTTACTCTGAATGATAGGGTGAGAGGTTGTGTGAGAAATTGGTTTGTAAGAAGATATACAAAGTAGTGATAGAATGATATAGGTTTGTTAATTTTTCAATTTAATATTTTGCTTCTTTTTTTTGAGCTTTTCTTTCGTACTTTTGCAGCTGATGGCTGGATATAAGGGGATGATGAATTTTCCTACATAACACAAGGGCAGTATATTAAGAAGTACACCTACATGATATGAATTTTAACAAATTCCTTATTAAAAATAATGAAATTCTATAAAAAATCTTTGTTTATTCATAACGCACACGATAACAAAGTTTCAGCCTGTCTTCATGCAACAATTATATATTCGAATAATTAATATTGCACTTGCAAATGTACTCTACATCTCTACCACACGAAATATTGATGATTACCTTTACATTTAGCGTTTTTATTTGTAAAGACTCTTAATCCCCGTTAAGTTTTACAAACTTATTTCATTAAGGATAATAAACGTGATAATATCCTCCGCGTTTTCCTAGAATAAAAACATGCATGCGTCGAGATCACTAGTTACGGAGGCGCGAAAACCGCAGCAAGTGCAGCAGCCTGGGGCAATAAACTTTCATAACGATGGCTATGGGAATTATTGATGAGGCGAGAATTTATGACAAAATGCGTGCCCTTCGAAACTTGAATTTTTTAGGTCGCATTACCTATTCGAAGTATACACTAGAGATCTTTGAAAGTGAATGGATTTAATTTATTCAAATGCTTTCTTTCACGATTTCGTATAATAAAAATTCTTAATCTTATAACTTCTTTCTTAATTGAAGATAATTTAAACAGCATCAGCATAGACATATATATATATATTATATATATATATATATATATATATATATATATATATATATATATATATATATTAAATGTTTATTATTGTAATTACGTTCTATTGGTAATTTAATATTCGCTAATAGTACTTAACTAATAATGTTTATAAAATATGCGTTTCTTGGATGTAAACATATCTCTTAGACGAGCATAATTAATAATTCCGTATTGTGATACAACTTAACACACTGGTGATTAAATCCCAAGTATTTTTTATTTTCTTAAAATAGTTCATAATACTTAAATAGGAAGACTATCTGCATTTTTTTTAATATTTAAGAACAGTTCATGAGCTTATTTTTTACTAGATGGTAGAACTCCTTAGTCAGTATAGGTAGGTATCCTCTTATTAATTTCAAGCGCCAAATAGTGGTGCCTGCACTGTTATGTTCTAGTCCCAAGGGTAAGTACAGAGAGCCATTATAATTACAGGCTGTGAAACATTCCATCATAGTCCTCAGAGGTGACAATGCATCTATAGCCTTTCTTTGTTTGAAGATGGCTGTAGGAGTCCATGGACTGCAGTAAACATCCATCAGGCAGACCGTAGGTATCTTTGTCACTTCAGTTGTATGAAAAAATTATAACGATCACAACCTTAATATTTGCTCCTTCATAATTATAATAAACACTTATCAGAATCTCATATTTATTTTGTATCACAATCAAATAAATAAAAAAACTTACCAGACACTTCATAGCGCTGTCGTCTTTTTAACTTCTAATTTAAAATAAGAACAGTTTTGGTTGTATTAGTTGGTCGTGCGACAGATGCCTTCTGCGTGCGTATAACAACCGCGCACGTGCGCTGTCGGTCGCGAACTGAGCTGATCGATGAACTTTGCGGTTGCGCCGGCGCCCGGTGCAAGAAGGGTTAACGAATGCCGTGTTTGTGGAGCCTCGATTGATGCTTTTTTTCATTAAAAGGCAACATCACGTCAAGACGAAGACTTCTGTATCAACACACGATCTGCAGTAAAAACTAATACTGCGATACATACATACTTGTTAGTTTAATGCCTTATCACTACAATTAAGGTTACCAAGGCATTGGTTCTATCAAGTGACTGCGCTATCGGACAGTCGCAAATCGAAGGTCAGTGTGGTAATGTTGTAAAGATTCATAGGTTATATCAACACGGCGTATGCCTTCATCAGCGAGTGATTGCTCAGTAGCCGTGCCTTAAGTTTTACAACATAAGTACAAGCGAATAAGTCAATGACGACACATTTGAAACAGTTAATTGCAATTATTTGTCGATTTGTAGGCCTTGTCTAGGCCTACGAATCGCCATATAATTCTACGTATCGATGCAAATAAATAAAAAATCGAATGCGGGACACATAGTAAATGAGGATCTTGTTTCATTGTGGTAAAATGCATCACAAAAGGCACGTGTAAAAGAACTTAATGTATGGTAGTGAAAGTTGGATGTGTCAGAAGAAGCATGAAAGTAAAATGAATGCTGTAGAAATGCGGTCATTAAGAAGTATGCTAGGGCTGACTCTGAATGATAGAGTGAGAAATTGTGTGATAAGAGAAATGTGTGGTTTGTAAGATGATGGGACTAGACTATTAAAGAAAAATGCTTATGTAGTTTGGACACGTAGACAGAATGAGGAAAGACTGACAAAGTAAATTTATACTGCAGTGTGGGAATTAGCAAGGGACTAGTTCCACACTGCAGCCCTAGACGGAAGTTTGTCGACCAAATTGGTAGTTTATTAAAGATGGGCAAAATTAAGATTACCCCTAACTAACGAGCATATATGCGTAGGTAAAAGAAGCGAGAGAGGTGGCAGGATCGTGACAAATGGAAGTCCGTAATCTCTACCTATCCTTCTTGGGAACAGGCGTGAGAATTTATTTATGTATCACATCAATCTAACAAGATAACCTTAACTATAACTCCATGTTCATATACACTCGTGTATCTGTACTTGTGCACGTGTGTGCGAAAGTACAGGTACACTTTCTATCTCCTTACTCTCATACTCCAATTGGACGGCAATCCGACACAAACTTCAACAGAAGAACAGAAAAACAGATCAGGCGCAGGCTTGGCTTTTCGTGTTTTCCGAGGCATGGAGGTGAAATGCCGCCTGTGAAAATTTCCTGAATAGTATTCCTTGTCAGTACAACCCAATAACCTATTTCGGTCCGACCAGGGATCACATGATCAGCAGATCACTAGAGAGAGGTAGTCAATAAGAGGTTAGGTGTAAGCTTTGATGTAGTGCCAGATACTAGGAAAGCCACAATATACCGAGGTCTGAAAATCAATCATTTATGATTTCCTCGTATATTGGCTCCGATTAATCATCATCATTACAACAATTTACATGTCCAAAAGTGAACATAGCACGGTCCTGAGCCTCTTGCATCCATCGACTTCCTGCATTTCTTACCGGTACGAGGCTGCCACGCGAGTACCTTTCTTCCCCATGGGTTGTTGGGTCTTCGGGGGTATCTATGGTTTCTCCGGCGCCACTATTTGAAGGCGGATTCGCATAGATCTCGAGAGAGATCATCGAGATACACGGAAAAGTAAAATAAAATTTTTCGATATCTCGCTTAGTTTCCGAGATATCGATACTCAAAAATCTAATACTAAAACTGAATCAGAACGCCCCGACTCCACGTAGTCTTGTCTGCTCTACCCCTAGAGTGCTTTTGTAAAGCGGTAGGCGCGGAGAGAGAGCAGCCCCCGCCCGCTGTAGCAAATAGCACCTTTGCGAGACGTTGCGGTTGAGGCTTATAGTTGTAGCACGAATGGGTCGGCTCGACCGGGGAAGGACCACGCTCTCACAGAATACCAGCGTAAAATAGCAGCTTAATACTGCTGTGTTTCGTATGGTGAGTATTGAGAACCGGAGACCATTTTTACTGGAAAAGAGGCATTCCATCTTAGTCCTCACGGGTGACACTGCAACTGCATTTTGATTCGCAAACGAGGATAGATTTAGATGTCTATGGGCCACAGCAACCACTTACCATCAGGTGGGCTGTATGCTCGTTTCTCACCCTATCCTATAAAAAAAAGGTTGGTCGCCGAAGGCGACTAATAAGCCAAAGCTGCGAAGGTAAGCAGTGAGTGAGTTGAGATAGTTCACATTTGCTACGCAGAAGTAAGTTTGGGTCAATATTCCTGTGTAAAAAAGTAATTTTTTAATATCGATATCTCGGAGATATCGAAAAATTTTATTCTTAATTTTGTAGCGTATCTCGTCAAAATCTATGCGAATTTATTCAAATCGTGACGCCATAAGAACCGTAGTCTTGCCGTTCTTCGAGCCATATGGCCGGTACATAATTATTAATACTTTTATTCGGGTAAAAGTAAATAATTTTTAAAGTAAAATAAAGTAATAGCTAAAATACGCCCCAATGCTACGCGCAAGTAATTTCTCATCCCCGAGAGGGTTGAGTCCAACGCGGTTGCTCGATACATGTTGACAGAATTATTTTTCCTCAGCGTTGAAGTCCACTGCTGCTTCTTCCGTTTGAAAGGGTGGATTTGCATTAATCTTCACGATTGGTAGGCCGATTGACGGCCGCAGTACCTGAAATCTCGATCTTATGACGCAGTTTCGTTTATTGTCTGTTCAATGGTAGAATTCCTCAGTTGTTTTTTTTTTACATTTCACTGATATTTTCACAAGTGGTTGCTGCAGCTATAATATATTTGTAGCACTAATGAGTCAGCTCGACGGGGGAAAGAACCACGCTCTCACAGAATAATAAAATAGCAGCTTAATAGTACTTGCTTTTATATGGTAGAGTAGAGAACTGGAGATCCTTTTTACAGGTAAGTCCTCAGAGGTGACACCTACATTTTGCTACTAAAACGAGAATAGGTGTAGGTGTATATGAGCCACAGCACTGCTTAGCATCAGGTGGACTGTCTGACCGTTTGTCACCCTTATTCTAAATTAAATTATATATATAAGATATTGAATTATCTAAAACGCGTATCAATAAAAAATATTACTAACGTACTCGTGCATATAAAAATAATTTAATTGCAAACAGCTGTCCAAATATCTTCTTAGACCTATATATAATTCATTTGTGAAATACACAAAAAAATATACACATAACACAATTCCGTCATCAGATAAGGCGCAGGACAATGCTCTTTACGATTTCGGTTATGTTAACAGACCTAGTTACTAGGACGGTCTCTAACGCTCTTCGTGGTGACACATCTATTTGCGCTTTATATGATCATTGCCCGAATGATATCATATTTGAAAGTTACTTCTTTAATTTTGCTAAAACAGTGCTATGAAAATATTTTGGGAAATATTTTTACATTTTTTTATACAATTATATATTTGGAATCCTTTCTTCGTTACAATATTTTCACGTTTTAACATAAATAATTCTTACGTATCAAGAACCAAAATGTTGAAAAAGGCGATACCTTTTCTAAAAATGAAAATACCGATATAGAATTCTTATAACAGTAAGAATGGAACGGATATCCTAAGGTTTTGTTTTCGTGCACGATTTGATGAATTGTACCAAGCCAATACATTAATAGAAATAAAGAAAACATGTTTAATAATACCAAGTATAGCATCTGATAATGCGTAATTTATTCACATTTAACTATAAAACCGAATAAAATGATCCTTGTTACTCTGTGTTTGTAGTCTATGGAAGCTGTCAAACAAGCACGTAATATTATGAATGTTTATATTAAAAATGCCTCAAAAATTTTCTTTTTTCTGGGAGATAAGTTTAAACAATAAATTAAGGCAGCTAAAGTGCGGGTAGAACTTGAAATAAAAAATAAACCAGAAATGATGTGTACAATTATATTGCAAGAACAAACATCAGTGAGACTGTACAATAAATAAATTCAAAACGAACGATAACAGAAGGTCGAGTACGAACTAAATAACAAATAGGACTTCAAGCATTTTTTATATTTCTGTGGACTATTCGCTTATGCCTACTGACGCAACCGGCCGTTCTAAAAGTTTTTCCACACTCCTGGCAAGTAAAGGGTCTTTCGTCTGTGTGAGTCCTGTTATGGACCTTTAAAATATCGAGGGTATTAAACCGTTTCCCGCATGTTTCGCAGCCATACTTCCTTTCATTAGCGTGGTATACAAAGTGCCGCCTATACTGTGCTAAAATGTGGAAAGTTTTACCGCATACTTCACACGTTTTCCTCGGCGTTGGATTGTGCACAGCTTTGTGTATGACCAGACCGCTTTTAAACTTGAATTTCTTGTCACACAAATCGCAAGAGTAGGTCTTCCCTTTCGAGTGCGTGTCTAAATGACTGACGAGATTTCTCGTATGCTTGCCACAAACTTCGCAAACTTTCCTGTAGTCGTATTTCAGTTTGCGTGGTTTCTTCCTCTTTCTGCGTATCTCTTTTTCGTGTTTCACTATGGCGTTTGATTTTCTCATTGCCATGACTTGAAATTTGTCGCACTTCGCAACCGTCAATTCTTCTTTATCTGCTTCTTCGTGCATATCGTCAACAGTTGTGTCATTCTCTTCAGCTGACAATTCAATTTTTATTAAATTGTCATTTGCTATACCTTTGTCTCTAAATTGACGATCTGTTTCCTGACATTTTCGTCGAAATTTATAAGCGTTTTCTAACTCCCTGACACAATTCAAACAAATATATGAAGGTAAACTATCTGACTTTTCCACCTGAAATAGATATCTTAATTACAACACTAATATTTGTATCGCTAGCTTTTTATATATTAATTATTTTAAATGAATACCATCAAATAATTATCAATTTCTTTTAATTTTAAAAACTGACTGTTTTAAATTTTACTTGTTGGCAGA